ACATGTCAGCATTTTTGAACTAGACGTTTGGCCCCTGGGTAGTTTTTGTGTCTATGCTCGTGTGGTGCTAGAATGCTTTGAGAGGTAGAGATGATTGCATGTTGATTTGTATGTAGCAATATGGTACGTATAGCGATGAACATGCAGGTCGCAGGTTGAACCGGCAATCCAAGATCACATTGTTGATGTTCGGTGTTCGTCTTTTTTTGAAGAGAATGGCCCTTCTTTGCTTGCAGTTCCAGGTTCTTCCTGGGGACACTGGTACGGAACGAACGCCTTTTGCTCAGAATGTTTTGGCTGGTCGTTGTCTTTGCTCGTATTTTCCAAGGCGTTCGTTTGAAGTTGCCCTCCGTGACGTGGAGAAGCCCCAGCGCATCTTTTTGCACCCGAAGGTGCGCCCTCGCAAAGAAGGTGGCCAGTTAGACAAAAGGCAATCAACAGCTCTCAGTTCCTTCGTTGTGGGTTCAACTTTGTTTTTCCTTCTCCGTTGGCTGTGTCCAGGACAGCCGAGTGTTTGTCACTGTGCATCCATCAAGCTTGCGCTTGTGGAGCATACCGCGTATTAGCAAGGCGTGGCGGAGATGGCTGGAAACGAAATACGAAGTGCTATCAGTTGACGACAGCCAATTGCTATGCCATGCTTGACATGCGGATGGTTGTGGAAACCGGCTAACCAAGTCAAGACCCTTTTAGTTGATAGATTGTATGATAGGTTCTTGAAAGTCATTGCATGCGCTTATTGGACCTTATGGTTTGAATGTGCTGGAGTATTATTTGCCTCCAAGATGTGTCGCGACTGTTTTTTTCGTTTTTATTCCCCTTGATCATATTTGACGAGCAATCTTGAACGGGCACTTTGCCGCTCAAGCTCTATGCACCCAGCTTTTGTAGAGGCATTTCGCCTTTTGCAGTGGGGGTCAGCTTCGAACTGGTGGGGCCTTTCTTGTCCGGCACACTGCACCTCGAGCCCCTTGTTCGTGGTCTCCCTTTTGTGCTCTGGATTTTGTTTGGGCTCGCTGTTCACCGTGCTTTTTGGACTTTGGTTCTTTTTGCATCGGCCCTCACATCTCCTGCCACAAAAGCTCCCGAGTTACGCCTATCGGCATATCTGCATGAGCGACGCCGTCGCTCTCCTGGTTAGCGCTGTCAAGGCTGCCGCCAACACCCTGCGCTTGCTGGCAGATTCTTTGGACTCAGCGGCCGACCGCGCTGCTGCTGCTGCTGTGGCTGTGCTGTCTGAGGTGGACCTCCGTGACTGGAGCTTGACGAGCAGCACGATCCTTCTTCAGCCGAGGCCCCAAGGCCCTCATCTGCTCTCTCCACTTCCTCGCTTCCAAGAGGAGACTCTGGCTACTACTCTGCACTTGACCAGGTGGCTCGCTCCATTCCTCCTGTACCAGCTCATTGCATTGATCTCTGCAATCGCCTTGGTGGCACGCAGGAGGAGGTCAAGGCGAGGGCTACGAGAGCTTGGGAAGCTGGACATTGGGCCAAGGCAGTTCTGGAGGGCAAGATCAACCGACCGAGGCCAACGCCGAAGGTCGCGCAAAAGCCATCCTGTTACATCATCCTCAGGGCGCCTGGGATCACCTCTCCGATCCGTGTGGATACTGCTGCTGAGGAAGCATTCTCCCTCGCTTTGAGGAAGGATCAGTCTCCCATTCCTTCCCTTCTTTGGCAGAAGGCAGAGTCTATTGCTTGGCTTCGGGACACTCGTTCCCTGAGCTCGGGAGGCAATGACTTCGATAGCTTTGGAGGATGTGAAGACTTTGGACCAAGGTATGGTTATGGCCCATGTGGTGAGGATGGACTTTGCCGCTTGGGGTTTCCCTCCTGGTCCGAAGGAGGCTCTGGTTTTTCCTATTATGAAGAGGAGGGATGGACTGATGTGTGCAGTGCCAGAGGGCTTCTTCCCCACCGAGGTCCTAGATGGTGGCAATTTTTCGGAGATGGAGGACCTCACGCAGAAGTTCCTTTGGCCATCGAAGTGGAGTGTCTGCTGATCGACTTTCACGTGGGGATCATGGAGTACCTGCGTGGCTTCGACCCTGTGACCGAAGGGGATGGCATTGCCACCTTTGCCCAGGACAACATCGATATCTTCCCCGAGTCGAACTCGTTGCTCATGGCTGCATACCATTGGGCCGAAGAAGGAGGGGACCGTGTCAAGTTCTACTCTGCAGCAGAGGAAGGGGGGCAGCCTATGCCTGCCTCTCCGGCTCATGCCGAGCCCAAGGGGAAAGCGAAGGCCTTGGCAGAGCAGATAGCTGCGATCTCCGAGGCACTTCCAGGCATCACCGAGCAGCTGCGTACGATGGCTCAGAGACAAGACAAGATGGACTTGTTGGTTGCAGGTGTGGGTCGAGGACTACAGGACCGAGTTCCGGCACATCGTCAACTGGCTCCCGCTCGCTTCCTTCATTCCAATGGCAGTCCGCCTCGTGCCAGGGCTTCTCCGGAGAAGGTTGCATGCCCAAGAGCTCCTGGCCTTGACCATGGTGACTGTGGAGCAGGCTGCGCAAGATGGCTCGAAATGGGAGGCCGTCTCTGTTTGTGGCCAGGCCGTCATCTACGAATCCTCGCCTCCAAGCTTTTGCTCCTCTATGTCCTCAAGAATGGGCGACTGTGGCTCTGGGGTATGTCAAAGAGGTGGACTTGATCAGCTCCCGGAGACACGAGTCTCTAGTCACAAAAGGAAAGGAGGACCATGGAGCAGGACCCAAAAAGCCCGACGACAACAACTCTTGGAAGAAGAAACCTCGCTACCCCAAGAAGGGCAAAGCGAACGAGGAGAGCGCCGCATGAGCGAGCCGGAGGCCAATGGTTTGGTGTCTGGGCGCAAGAGCGCAGGAGATGTACTATGTTCCGGCCTCGGTTCTGGGAAGCCTTTGACCTTCCTTGCAAGGCTGCCAGTACTCCGCCTGCTCCTACTTCCAGCTCATCTCAGGATGGCAGCCTTCGTGATGACGGCAGAATCTCTTGGGAGAAGTTGGAGGAGTTTTCCTTTAGGTCCTGGACATCGATGATGCTTTCGAGTGTACTGGAATCCAGGACGCCCTTCGCAAAGTTTTTGCGGCAAACTCTTCATTGCAAGCCCTTGCATAATGCAGCAACGCACAAGCTCTTTTTCTTCTACCTGTTCCGAAGTTTGGTATTTTTGGTAGATTGAGATGTGGTGACCGCCAGAGGAGGAGGATCCAAGTCGACCGAGCCTTCCACGTGATCATCGTGGCGCTCAATTTTTGGCATGCTGACTTCACTTTTGTACCATTGGAGTCACTTTGCCGAGAACCTACCTCTGCACAACTTCGTATCTTTCGGAACCTCAAGAGGATGCTCAAAGCTTTTGGTAGCTGCGGAGAGGTGTTTCAAGTCCCCGCATGCGGCCGAAGAATCCCTACCTTGATGGCTCTGCTCTCAGACCTCTGGGAAGGTGCTGGAGGAGACCCATATTCGCGTGTGTTCCCTGGATCCAAGGATGGCCTGGCAGAGATAGTTCCTCGAGACTTTGGAAGGGCTGAGGAGTTGATTCCATATCGATCACTTGACCCACCTTTTCTTTCTGATCCATTATGGATGGCCTATATGGAGCCACGCTCTCTGTTGTGGACTGGAGACCTACGTTCTTCGGCAGTCCCCGATGTGTCAAGAGAAGACCCCAAGGCTGTTGCCGACTTGGTGCCGATCTGGGATGCAAAAGGCCTGCTCTACCTCAAGGATCGCCCTTTGGCTGGAGGAGGAAGTGACTTGGCTATGAGGTTCTTCAATTGCTACAAGTCCTTGGAGGTTGACAGGATGATTGGAGACCGTCGGGCTTGCAACTATGTGGAGGGACGTCTTACTTTGGTTTCTCCTGGTTTGCCTGCTGCGCATTGCCTCTTTGACCTGGAGGTCAGCTTGCCTGGGAATCGTCTGTCGATCTGCTGCGCGGACCGAAAAGACTTTTATCACCAGTTCCGAGTGAGTGAGCAGCGGGCAGTTTCGAACGCTTGTTATCCACTGATTGACATCAAGAAGACTTCAGCTTTTCAGGCATGGTGTCTCCGGAACTTGAAGAGAAAGAAGTATGACCGGCTCTTGCATGGCGACAGGCTGGGGGAGATCCAGATTGAGGCCAAGAAGAATCAGGAGGGCCTGCCTCCCTCTGTTCAGATCTGTTTCAATAGCATCCCACAAGGAGACCATCTTGGAGTTGAATTTGCTACCCCTCCTCAAAAGTCAAGGGTTGTTAGGCCGAGAGGAGATGAGGTCTGGAGAGGTCTATACTGGCCAAGACCATGCAGCAGGGCTTGTGATTGACGACTTCTTCTCTGTGGCTGTCGTCACGGAGCGCTGGCCGACTTTCAATCAGGCCCTCCCTGTCGAAGATCAAAAGGTCTCCAGAGCTGTCAACGACCTCCTATCAGCAAAGAAGACCTACCAGGCTGATCGAGTGCATCCTTGGCTCTGATGACAAGGACATCTGGGATGCTGAGAAGGCAAAGATCATCGGAGCAGAGCTTGACTGTTCGTTGTCAACACGGTCTATGGGGCTCGCTACTGTTGCATCGCCTGCCTGAAGGAGATTAGCTCTGGCCTATATCACACTGGAGCTGAGCAAGCTTGGTTATACGTCTGACAGTCTGGGCTTGCTTGATTGGTGGGTGGACTAGCTGCCTCATGTATCGCAGGCCCTTCATGTCGCTCTTTGATGAGGTCTACAAGCTGGTCAAGTCAGACGAAATCTCGCAAGACAGTCCAAAACTGCATCGCCTTCCTTGCAAGGCCGCACAGGAAGTTCAGCTTGCTGCAGTGCTGTGTCCCCTTTTTGCCACTGATCTCTCGGCGGACTTCTTGCCTACTTTATTTGCTACGGACGCCTCAGATGCCAAAGGTGCAGTGGTTGCAAGAGAGATTTCTGAAGGTTGCTCGAGTGCTTTGGAGGACGGGCAGGAAGAAGACCAGCTATGTATGCTCACAAGGGCAGAGGCTGTGGTGCGCAAACTTGACTGGGACTCCGAAGAATACCAGTTCGGATACAAGGAGCCTGAGGAAGAACAAGTCTCCGACCCAGAGCGCCCCAGAGCTTTCAGGTTCCACTTTATCGAAGTGTGTAGTGTTTCAGGAAAGATCACCAAGAGCATGCAGGCACGAGGATGGGTAGTTGGGCCTGTTCTGCATCTAGACTTGGAGAATCTCAAGGTGATCTCATGCCTCTTTCACTTGGTTGCGAGGGGGTGGCTGGATTCCTTTATGGTGGAGCCTCCATGTACTACGTTCTCGCCTGCTCAGCATCCTGCCTCCCGAAGGTTTGAACTACCAAGAGGTTATGACCGTCTGGATCCAAAAACTCTGAAAGGCACGACTCTTGCTCTACGGGCATTAGCGCTTATGAAGTTGGCCTCCCTCACCGGCCCTCTGGACTAGAGCAACCACGGAGGACGAAGATGAGGAGCCTTAAAGAGTGGCAGTTTTTCCTGGAACACGAGCTAGCTCATGAGACTTGGTTGGCCTCCTGCATGTACGGGTCTGTCCATAAGAAGGAGTTCCTCTTCCTTTTTGCCAACATGGAGACGGAGTTCTTGCACCGGAAGTGCTCAAGAGATCATGCACATGTGCAAATAGCTGGAAGCTATGCAAAGCCTTCTGCTACCTACACGGATGAGCTGGCTGAAGCTTTGGCTTCTGCCTTCGACAGAGCTCTGAAGACAAAGCTCAGGAGCGCGGCTCTTGAGCCATTCGAGTTGAAAGGCCTCGAAAGCCCACTATGCAATGTCTTGCTGGTCAGCGGGAGGTGGAGGACAGAAAAAGTCTGGAGATGGAAGGTCCCTATGCACATCAACATCCAGGAGGTTCTCTCCACGGTTGCACTCCTGAAGGACAGGGCTCTGAGGTCGCCAAAGTGATTGCAATGGACTCCAATGTGGGCCTCTCCGCATTGGTCAAAGGCAGGACGCCTTCTTTTGGTCTATGCCGGGCTCTACGGAAGGCCGGAGCTACGATCATTGCTGGTTGCCTCTACCCTGCTTTTCAGTTTGGGCCTACACGATTGCTGCCAGCGGATCATCCCACCAGAGATGTTGACTTTCCAGCTCCATGTGTCAGCTTCATTGATGAGCAGTGGACCAGAGATTCCAGGCCAACTGGGTCAGGTTGCTTCTCCTGACTCTGAGGTCACCCCTGCCGTGGTGGAGAGACCAAGATTCCTGGCGCTGTTCACATTTCGCCTTCAAAGCCTGGTCGGCTCGAGGGCCAGAGCGAGGAGGAGGAGTTGGATCTGGATCGTGGGAGTTCGACGAGACAGTTGGCTTTCCTGGAGAAGGACCTGAGACAGTCAAGGTCCAAAGCTGGCCCTTTCTGACAGCCCTTACCAGGCAGACTGTCATTCCGCGCATGCTTCTCTTCCTATGGCTCATTCTCTTCCTCGGCCTCCTTGGCCTGACGGTCCATCTCGCAAGCTGCTATGGATTTCTTGGATTTCATGGACTTCTTGGATTTTCCTTTGAATTTCCTGGCTTGATAACCCGACCACTGCAGGCCGGGCTCGCCCTTTTCGTTGTTCGCAGCATGCACGGTCCCCCAAGCTTGGTTGGTTTGGGTTTTTAGTGCTGACCCTCACCTGTAGCCCGGTAGCCGCGGTGAGCCATGGAGCGAGACTGATCCCTCGTGATGCCAGGGATCGAACAAGGGCCGAATCCAGAGCTGATCATGACCTTCCTCTGGGAAGGCCTGTTTTGGGGAAGACGCAAGAAAACAGAGACCGCCTTCTGCAGCTGTTTGGTGGATGGCTCTCCAAACAGGGTTTTTCTTTGCAGCAACTTCTTGGTCCGGGTGAACCGGACATCGAGGCGATCAACTTACGTCTGGGAAAGTATGGAAGAGAACTGTTCAGGGTTCAGGGCTGGCCGTCCTTACTGAGGCAGGAGCCTCCGTGCCACCGCCTGGCACTTCCATGGCAAGCACTTTTGTGCCTGCTATCCACCTCTTTGAGCTGGGGGTGGACGAGAGTTGCTGGAGTGATCGCACTATCCTGGGGAAGCCTCTCCAGGATAGGAGAAGTCCTGAGCGCCGCAAGGCGGGATTTGATCCTGCCGTCCGACGTCGAGTTCACCATCTCCTATGGCATGCTTCAGATTGCTGAAGCAAAGACCCGGTACAGGGCTGCGAGGCACCAAATTGCAAAGATAGATCAGCCCCAGCTGTTGATGGTGGTTAGCCTCGCCTTCGAAAAGTTGAAGCCAGAGTTCAAGCTCTGGCCGCTGTCGGGCCAGACGATGCGCAGCCGCTTTCAGCGGCTCCTGGAAGCTTGTGGTTTGGACAGGTTACCCGACAACCTGTCCAGAGGCATAGACCTTGGCAGCTTGAGGGCTGGCGGAGCCTCGTGGCTGCTGATGGTTAGCGAGGACTCGGAGATGACGAGGAGGAGGGGGAGGTGGATCTCATCGAAGATCATGGAGATCTACGTGCAAGAAGCTTGGTCCATCCAATTTCTTCATGCCCTTCCCCCGTCGACGAAGAAGACAGTTTTGGATGGTGCCAGAGCCTTTCCTTGGTTGCTGGAACAGGCCATGAAATGGCATCGGGCCTTGGTCCCAGAAAGAATCTGGTTCCTACTCCTGCGCCGCTTGACAGAGCATGAGCTGCAGTTGATGGGTGAGGACGAATTCACACTTTTGGCCATGACGGCCTGTGTGCACCACCCCTCAGGCAATGAAGAGAAAAAGGAGCGTGAAAGATTATATAGTGTTGCCAGGGGAGGCACGTTTGTAGATTTAGCTGTGCCTGTTTCAGCAATCTGATGATCAATTGACAGCAGCTGGGGGGGTAGGCGGGTGGGTAGGCGGGCGGGTGGGTGGGTGGGTGGGTAGACTTGGCTTTCCGTTTCAAGGTTCGAACGTTTGTGTTGAGTCTATTTTTGCTGCCTAGGAGATAGCTCCCGGTGGAATTCTATTCCCAGATCGGGCGCAGCTTCAGCGATGCTGCTCCACCGTTCTTTTGCCCAAGGTGCATGATCAGGGTTCATGTTTTGTAAGCTTTGCTGATTTGCTGAGCGTAAGATAGTATAAGGACCTTTAAGGAAGGAACCAAGGGAGCAAAGATGCATTTTTTCTATTGTAGCATATAGCTTCTTTTTGACGTACTAGCTACCTAGGCTACCTACCCTACCTCTCCTACCCGGAGCCCGCCTACCAAAACAACGAAAAAGGCAAACATGGCACTTGCTGCGAAGGGTTTGGAAATGATACGTACAGAACTGGTGGGCATCATTCTCGCATCCTGGCAATGTTGTATAGAGGTCGTGAAAACGACGAACGCGTTATGAACACTACGACCGTGCAGCCAAGTATAGAAATGGCATGAAGTGGCCGTAATGGGAAGCTGTCATGACACAGAGCTTGAAGTTAACTTGAAGTTTTGACATACAATCTAATCTAGGAACCAAGTGATTAGTGCGAGCGTGAGCTATCCTGCGTCCTACCTAGCAGCGCACTTAGCCTAGCTTACTTCCTTAGTTAAATAGGCGCCTACATAAGTAAGAGTTCGGCCAAGAACAAGTGACCCTGCCACCTTGCAGATTTTTCCTAGCAGAACGTGAGACATCACCCGCTGGCTGCGCAGGGAGGGAATGGCTCCAGAGAGGCCAACCCGCATCTCTTAGCATTTAAAAGCACTTGTGAAGCTGAACGCATCGATTGCCTTGTTATGCACTCTAAATATGTGACAGGGTGCCCTACAGATTTGGGATGTGGCGTTCTCTGTCGATGCAAGCTGCCTCCTTGCCTTGACTGCTTTGTCCTCAAACGTGAGCTGTCTAATCCTTGAGCTGATACTTGGGGCGATTCCTCAGGATAGCCTTTTAGTGTGGAAAGTCTCCACAGACAGCAGCGGACTAACAGGCAGACCTTTGCCATCGCCAAATATGACACCCGTTAAGCAGCCTTGAAAGGTTTGCAGCTTGTCCAGCAGTTGGCCATGGAAACCGATGAGGCAGCTTGTCCCTTCATCTTCCTGCTTGCATAGTGAAGAGTTATTTTGAGACGAGATGATGGGTGAGAACAGAATTTCTTTAAATGTCCTCTTAAAAAATCTTTCAAAAACGCATTGGGACTTGACTGCTGCGAAATGCTACAAAGTGAAACGCAAAGCGAAGAGAGTCTTTGTGTTTCAAGAAGCTGCTCCCACTTGAGTTTGATCGCCTGATTCTCGCTTTGCGGAGGACTTTTGCGATGTGCCCCAGATTCTGCGGTTTGTTGGCACGCCGCAAGTTCAAGCCGGGCTTTCTTCGATTGGAAAAAACATCGGCGAACCTTGAAACAATTGTTTAATATTGCTTCTTGCTAGTAGTAGTAATGCCCTGGTTACTACTAGTAGCGATGCACTTGCTACTAGTATATAGCTTCTTGTTGTTCAGAACGTGATGGATTCACCATGACTGGTCGCTTCAGTCGTTGCAGGCGATTGTGTTGGCGTCGCCCAGCGGCTGTGACCTGCGTGTGTACAGATTTTCCTCCACGAGCTCATCGCCCGTCGTGCTCCAAACTTGAGTGATCAGATTGGCTATATAAGTCATTTTCAAAGCGCAGATGGCATAGACTCATGTTAATTACGTTTTAGCTTACTAAGGTGGGGCCACTCCTGCAGCTTGTGCGCTTGGCATCTGCAGGTGGTTCGCATCAGATAGATTGCTCATAATTGAACTAGACTATTCTTTGCAAACAACTGCAGTGCCATGCAGCTCGCGGAAGCGCTGATGTGGTTTGGGTTCAGCCTGCCAGGCTCCAATGCAGCAGCGCGGTTGGAAGTTGACAATACTGCGTGAGCCTGGACTAGCACCGGACGAATGCGGAAGAGGAACTTGTGCACATCAACCCCTCGAATCCTGGACGGAGCCCGCCTGAACCTTTTTTTTTGGATGCACATATCGCGACAATTCGACAGCGAAGCGCATACTTCGTCAACCATGGTCAACTTGTGGTGGAAAAGGCAAGGTAAGAAACAAAAGAGCCTGAGTGGCTTGCTTGGTATGCGTCTTTAGGGACACAAGTAGACTCTAGACCAAGGAGAGCTATTTAAGTGTCCATGTGGATGACGTGTTGTTGATTGGATCCAAAGATGACATCCACGAGTTCTGCAGTCACAGAACCTAGATACAAACGCATCGAGAACGAGAATTAGCCAAGAGCCGGCGGCGGCCGTGCAATTGGTACACGTCAATGTCGAGCACTTCGGATGTCCGACATATATTTAAGGGCTGCCGCCCCTGCCGCCGACCCCGGAAACACCTCCCGGTAGCCATTTTAGCTTGGTTTGCCAACATTGAAGATAGACCGCTGGAAAGGTGAAAGACCAAAAGAAGAACGTGCAGAAGACGATAGGCAAGAAATAGCCCACAGGGGCCGTGGCGCACCACGAGAAAAAGGGAAATGGTGCGAGGTTTTGGAGCGTCTCCAACGGCCAGCGCACAGAGCCCAGGGCCCACAGTCCAGCAAGTCTGGGGTTTTGGAGCGTCTCCAACGGCCAGTATGGCAGAACCATTGGCAAGGTTCCAGGGGTTTGAGGCGGCCAGTCTGGCAGAACCATTGGCAAGGTTCGAGGGGTTTGAGGGGTTTGAGGGG